ACAAAATTCTGTAGTGATTCATATTATAGCCTGCAATTTTGACATCAGGATAAAGTGAACTTCGGAATTTTAAAAGATTTAGTCAGAAATCAAATGCATCATACCATGCAGTAGTTATTTGAGCAATGACACTATCAGGAATAATTGTATAGCCAGCACAGCTTTTACCTCATCTTCCAAGTGCTTCATTCACTACATGTAATTATTATGGCTAATTAAGTCAAGAGTACCTCATTAACAAATAATGCCTCTTCGATTTCATTTTCTCAAGATATCTGTTGTACAATTTCTTGCCCTTCTAAGTGCCATAAGTCATTACACAAAATAAATTGTCCACGTCGAATTTCTTAGTGACGATCTTCACATTTGTCAAAAATTATTACAACAAAAAACTTCTGAATTTAAAGTAGGAGTATTTTTGCAGAACTAGGACTTAGGCGTACAACAATTACTTACATATTCACCTGAAGCAAGAAGACGGATAATTTGGAGAGCACCGCCCCAGGCTCCAGCTATCGAAATATGCGAACGAATAAATTTGTCCTTCCACTCCTGTCATTTTCAATTTTTCATATAAACATACAGAAAGTTTCTGGTGAATTATATTACTAAAAATGTTACTCAATTTAGAAAAATATACGCTCAAGTTTACTGAAATCACAATAACTATACTATCAAAAATACAAGTAAATATTAAGCTGTTGACTGGCAAGACACTATCATGAAAGGATACAGTACAAATGCATATGACATGTACACTCCTCAAATGGTTATTGTACGGTTTAGGCTTGAAACTTCCAAGAACAAGTTCCGTCATACCTCTCATGCGACATAATCATTTCCGCAGAAAAAGGATATGGCGGAATCGAATTACATTTAGTGAAGTTAATACTGAGTAATTTCGGAAATTTTTTTTTTGATTTTTCAAATATATTTCCGAAGTACTTCCTCAATCTTTTTTGAACTATTTGAGGAAATTTTCAAATTCTAATTTTAAATATGTATAAAGCTTGAAACTATTACTGAAAATCACAGAGGAAAGTTAATGATTGAATGCAAAAAAATTTTCTGGAACCTGTTTAACGATGCTGTTGTAAAAGTAGAGCATCAGTGGATTTCCCATGCTATGTGCAATAACAATCACTTTCCTGTGACCACAAGAACTATAAGTCTCCTCAATCAATTTTGTCAAATTTGAATAATAGTCCTCGAGTTCATCTACAATTTCAATTCTTGTTTCTGTGATCAAACGTACAGGAATGTGAAGGTTTCCATTCTCTTATCTCAGATATTTGAAGATGGTTTAATTTCGAGTAATTTCTAGACTATTTGAGATATATGAAATGGCATGAAATTTCGACTTAAGAATAATTCAGATGAAAGACTTACTTGGCGCTTGCCTCCAGTCGTATGGTGCACCTACAATATTTTTACCTCGACGATAGCCGAATGGCAGGAGTGCTTCAACGATATCACTGAAATAGCGCCCTTCCGATGCTTTTGATGTATCCAGCCATTCCACGGTGCTCGTATTCCGAAATCCGGGAACATTAATTAGAACACCCGGCATATTTGACGTTTTGTTTGTTGTTCTGTTATATACCAACCTTAAAATATTCCATATACCAGCAGAGCATAAAATGACTACCCCAATAAAGATCCGATAAAGTTCCATTTACGTTTGTTTTGGGGATGGATAGGTTTTGTATTGGAATCCGACTTACTTCATATTATCCACCCAACAATCGATTACTGTTGGCAAGAACAGCTCCAAATTTAACCAGAGATCGAAGAAATCGTCCGTCTGTCGAGCACACCAATAATGTACAGTCTCAGGTTTCCCGACAAGTTTTGCTTTCAACTGCGACCCTCCATAACCGGGTACTGTAACTTTTATTGTCTTTCTCAATGTAATTGTTTGTAGAATTGTAGTCATTACACAGCCACCACAGAAGTAAAAAAAAGCTATTTTTCTACTTAATTTTTATGTCTGTTTCCAAAGCATTATGTTTTTTCTTGTAAAAATTAGTTTTGTAATTAATTTTAACATTATTCATTTTCTCTGCAAAAGTGCATTTAAAAACTTACCCAATACAAGTGGATATAAAGGTGTCTCTTTTATGGCGGAAATTGTTGCTGACATGATAGAAAAGAATAATGCCATGCGGTATGGTAATATCCAAATGAGCATCATTCGACAAGAATGCTTTAAAAATTTACTCTTTTGATATCAAATTGATACTACTTTTCACGATCCTTACTTACTTACATCTGTTTAAGTATAGCAACAAGCGGTAATGATCAACTTTAATTGTAAAAATCAAACATCTTGAGTGAATAGCACAGTGTCAATTATTGTCGCGAATTTCGAATATCGCGAAGCTCCAAATAAAATGAAGTAATAAAATAAACTAATGTACAAATCAATCACACAAATTGTAAATAAACGTTAACAATGTTATGAAATGTAACTAATTTCATATTCTCCATATTCATGCGTTTTTCTTCGTTCACATCCTTTCCTTTTTTGCAATAAAGCCAACTCATATGCTAAATTTCTTTGTCTGAGAACCAATCTTAATTGCAATGTTTAATGTTGCAAACAGAGCCCTTTGTTGTAATCGGATTTTGACAGTTTTTCTTTATCCAAAGGAATATCTATTGTAATATTTGTTATAAACCACTCTCATTAAATATGTTTGTGTTAATCAAAATTGTAT